CCTAGCAAGACGGGGCGCACTAATTTTTCTTCAGACTACTCACTGTTTTTCTTCGTCTTTAACCGACCCGGTCACGGATTCCAGTGTGCCTTGATATTCAGGCTCTATTGTTTCATCTTCACTCACAGCTCCTTCCTCTTCTGCGATCATCTCCTATAAAAAATCGTATTCGACGAAGATTGCGGTGAAAAATCTACCAGTACTTACTGCTGTCGAAGCTTTAGCAATAGCACCATCACGATGCGAGGCGTCTACTACCGTACTCTGCGAATGTGAGGAGTCGTGAAGCGATTCATCGGTGGACACCGGTGGTTCAGCTAACGCGTTTGCGAACGATATTGCTGTGTTGCATGACGTGATTACAGTGATGATCTTCTGAAATCGATTATTGATTTTCCGGTAGTTAGGTTTATAGTTGCTCGGGAATCAATTATTGATTGCTTCACTGATGCACTATGATATTGATTGATTGCAGCGATTGTCATCTTGCATTTGATTTGATTTTTGTTTTTGATTTGTGTTTTCTTTACGATCATTTCGGACATATCAATTATTAATTAGTACGCCATTTGCTGTTGCTTTGGGCTGTTGCGGAGGAAGTGTTTTTTCTTCATTTTGGCATCGCTAACCACCTCTGTCACGATTTTATTGGGCTATTTTGTAATCGTGAACACAGCCGTTAAGACGCTAATTCGAGGAATCAATTAATGCCTAAAGTCCATTCGAGTTACGGTATAATTAACTGGTAACTGACATGTCGTCCTACAAGTAGGCGAAAAAATCAATAAAAGGAGCTAACTGTAAACCGCCCGTTCGCTCACCTTTTCACTCTTGCCGCCAAGCTTGACATGCTCGGCGTTAGCCCGCTGAACACGTTCCTTGATGAGAGCGATATCGTTCTTGAGCGTCGTTGCGTCATGTCGGCACGACAGCACGTGGTCTGGTGACGGTGTGAAAATGACGGCATCATTTATGGCCTGGCAACGTCGCTGTAGGTCAGCGCCACGTCGCCCCATATCGTCCACTAGTCGCCAGAACGATTCACAGTCACGTTTATACTGGGCGAGTAGGTGTAGGCGGTCGACCAGATCGCTGCGTAACTAAACCAAAAGAACGCTAAGCGACCAGTGAATCAATATTTGACCAATTCTGGAGGCACTTACATCAGCGATTTTTTTCGCGACTTCGCTAACTCCTCGTCGCACATCGTGCTTGGCCGCTGGGTCGACACTGGCCTGGGCTATCAAACGCTCTTTGGCATTCTCCAGAGCAATGAGTGCTGCTTTCCTGAAGGAGGCAGAAGTTTCTGACAGTATCCCGAGTTTGAATATGTATGTCACGGCAATGACGCCCTACCAATCAATAATTTCGGAAACTCACTTTTCAGCAATCTGTGCGTTCTTAGCTGTCGCCACCTTTATCGCTTCTTCAATCGCTTTCATATCATACGGGTTAAAATCCACATCAAGTTCGACGGCTGTTTCGTCAAACCTTCAGAGAAAATCGATATATTGGTAAGTTGAGAGAAGAAAAATCAATAACTATCCAGGAACCACTCACCAAAACTGTAGATTTTCAAGATCGTGTCTGAGTTGACTTTGGTCAACCGCCCTGGCGTCAAGCCGAACTCTGGCCTCACGAACCGTTCGCACCAGTTCACGGAATCGCGTCTCAACGTCGCGTGTGCGCTTACGGATCGCCGTCGCTCGCTCACTACCGTCGCTGAGACGCGGCAGAATCAAACCCAGCCGTCGAACAGCATCAATGACGAGTGCGTCCACGCGTGGTAGCATCTGAAAGGTTTACACTGCAAACTGTCACAAAGTGTCGCGCGCGGCACACCGTGTGATAAATCACGGCAGCTATGGCTGAGACCTGCGCAAGTGAAGAGGAATAAGTGACGGATTGCCGGACTCATATAGGTAAAATGGGACTGGCCTACCTCTTCGACGATTTTCTGTCGTTCTTCAAGTTCTTCCAAGCGTGGACTGGTCTCCCGTCCATTGAAGCGATCCATCGCTTTGTCGCCCATTGCGAGCCCTTTTCCGCTCGATAGCACCTGCGAATTACTGTTTGAGCTTTATCCGCCCGGAAAGCTCAGATAAATCTTTCGCTGAGAAAGAAAAGATATCAAAAGCCAAGTAAGGCCTCCTTAGTGTAATGGTCAAGGTGCTTAGAAAACAAGGCTGGTTCAAATACCGCTCCACGGAGAACTATTATCCACCATCCACTGAGTTTACGGGTTACTTGAACTTAATTTCTAATCGTCTCACGTAATTGGCCGGAGACAGCATCAGAACGAATCCACAAGAATGCGCACCAACTTGGCTCCAGAGCCTTAGGAGGAAGGTAGTGGTCCTAGAACTAAGCCCTGGAGAGAGAACTCTGGGTTGGGTGAGCCAATTACAGTGTGGCAAACCTTAGAATGTGTGAGGTCGTAGTAGTCATGGGCCGCGTTTAGGCAAGAGAGCGCAGGCGCAAGAATGAGGCGGTTCAAAGGACCGTGTTCAAGCAGTCCCTCGACCACCCACCCACCCAAGTGCTTTTTCGAATTTAAATCAAAAAGCTCGAAATCATACTATCAAATGCGAGCGTAAGTAGTAATTGCAAGCATTAATTGCAGTGGTATTAATTGCAGTGGTTTCTTAGAATGAGAAAGAACGAGGCGTATCGGTATCATATGCCGCGGTACCCCCAGGAGGCCCGTCGCGCGGCAAGAAGGCAAAGTCAGCGGACGAGTCGCGCGCGTACTATAGGGATTTCGCGTCAAGTTAATAGAGTGTCCCACTGCACGTCCTACATCGCACACCACGCGCTGCAACTCGTCCGCCGACTCTGCCTTCTTGCCGCGCGACGGGCCTCCTGGGGGTACCACCGCTTCGTATTCTGCCAGCTTTCTTTTTTTAATTGTAAGTAACTTGTGGGAGGGACTAGGAGCGGCCCCGAAATGTGGGGATACTGATAGACAATGCTCCTGATGACGGGAAGTAATCTCAACAAGTAAAAGGATCAAAAAGTGACGGAAAACAGAAATAAGGAGAAACGAATCATCTCAACCTTTGTTCATGTTTTCGAACTGCAGTCCTAGGGACGTGCACGAAAACTCAGATGAAAAGTGGGAACAGAAACCAATCGGGAACATACCGAATCCCTATTGAGGGCACATTCAACTACCGCAGAATGCGAATAGTTGATGGGTAGGTAAGAAGTGAGGGTTTCGAAAATGAAACTGAGGTGCTCTCTGGCGCGTGAATAAGAAAAGCACAAAACTCGATAAGATACTTACTGTGACCCGTTTCGCTGTCCATTTCAAGCAAATGCAATGAGGCATTACGAGCGCAAGACATGATAGTGAATTCCTGGCAGTATGAATGCGACGGCTGCAGAAGACGAAAAGTATATAGGGAAGATCGAGACGCAGACGCCATTGGATTGAGTTTAGAGGTGATAGGAGAAGTCACTGAGCTACAATAGTTCTAGCGCCTTTCTGTGCTACTCTGCCACAAAAGAGCTTCGCACCAGTTCTACCCATTCAGAAAGCGGCTCTTGCAATGAGACGAATATAAAATGCGCTGATAATATTAAAATTTGGATATTTCAATCACCGTAAATCGTGTTAAGCCTGCTCCCAAATTACTGTGTTACCATATTCACTGCCCTATTCAAACAAAAGTACAAAGAAGCACAGTGTGCCATGCATTCCCAGCCATCACAACATTAATGCTATCACTCACACTCTCCAGCTTCTTCCATTCTTCTCGATCATTTGTGGCCTTTTGTCGTCGCGTTTCCAAGTCCTTTCTTAACGCCTCCACCCGTTCCTGTGTATGCGACACTTCGAGCACGTCCATCGTCATCTGATGCTCATCTACTTTCCGTAGCGCTTGATCGAGATCATCTGACATTTTCTGTAAACAAACACTTTACAACGAATTGCCAAAATCAAGCAAAGGCATTCCCAGTTAAAGAAAGAAAGCTGTTGTTCCTATACATGTACCCTCTATTTCGGAAAACGGAAGAGCGTCGAGTGCAGATCACACACACAAGTGACGACAGCCAAGAAAAAAGTGGCTTATTTTTCTTTTTCTTGGCCGTCGTCAAGTGTGGTGTATGGTCTGCACTCGATCTCTCTTCTCATTTTCCCAAATAGAGGGTAGATATAAAGCAAGAACGTGAGATTAACAATAAAACTTTTGAGTCTTCAAGGTGAAAGGACAAAGTGATTCGTGGCACGTATAGTGGCAGACCACAGCGATGTTATGGCAGGGCATTATGGAGAAATGACAACATCCATCTCAGGTTTTTGGCCAATAATGTCCTGTTCGCATTATGAGCGGTAAAAACATCGCCAGACAGCCGCACGGCCATTCAGTGCCGTTCGTCGCGTGACCCTTTGTTCTCGCGCTTAATCAGACAACGGGGTGACTATCTGAACCCGACTGGTCAAAGTCCTTGCTAAAAGCTGACTATCTCCGCAGATAAGCATTACCCAAGATATTGCAAAGACGTACAATGCCACTGGGCATTACCATGGAATCCATCTCATATGCACCTAGAGGGTTATGATTCTGTTATCTTCATCAAGCACATATTCTATTTCATTCGAGACCTTTGAAGATAGTGTTCACGCAGTCTAGGAGGCGGAGACAGCAACAGACCCTATTGGTGGAATGGTGAGAGGAAAGAAGCTATAAGGTCACTCATGACCGTCAACCAATAGACGCCAGCGTAGGCTCCGCTCCTCTGCTAGTGCGAATGCGCGGGGCGTGCAGTCTCTTCTCAGGTCAGAGGCACTAAAATGGAGACATCACTCATTTGCTGGCACGCTCAGACGAAGCCTTTGCTATTCAAGGTTTTGTGCCATAAGCCAAGATAAGCACAAGCAAGCATAAGCATCCAACCCAAGCTTCACTTAGGTTAAATGATCGCGAACTCGATGACCTGACAGAAAGACAGAACTTAACGGCGTTGAAGTGACCTGAAACTTATTTCCAGGCCAAACACCCTTCAAAGGGCAAACCCCGAGATAAGCCCGATTTGTAGGTAGGGGGAAATTGTAAGGTCCCTACCTACCTAGATCACTCCAGCTTCGCGCAAAGTTGCGCGGTTAGGGCGCTAATCCTTACGGGCCTGCAACCATCGACCCCCGTTGCAACGCTTCCCACCCACCTCGATATCGGCGTGCTCTCTTGAACGGCTTGCCATCGTTCCATCCGACCTTTTGAAGGTTAAGGCCTTAATTTCAGCGATCCCAAAGATTTCTCTAGCTTTCCTTTCCACTTTCAGGCCGTCCCGCAGCTCAGTCATCATTACGAAGCGCTCTTATCACCAGTTTTATCCGGGGCTTGCCTTTAAAGGAGATCAGGTCAATTAATTCCAGACAGTCATTTTCTCAGCTAATAAGCGGAATACTGGATGGTAGTACTTTACAGATCTGTTCGTCCTAGGTGAAAATTGTAATTTCGATGTCTGGTTTTTGAAACCCGTTTCCGTTTTGTTCCGCTGAGTGCGACCTAAATTTTTCAGGGAGAACGGTTTGATTTTTATTGGAAAAAAGTAATATGCATTTAAAAGTTAGTAACTGAAAGTTTACGGATTCAAAATTTGGCAGAAAGCTTTTTGTAAAAATTCCTTGTAAAAATTTGTTCGATAAAAGTTGAGGTACTTTAGAATCTACCGTACCGTATATCTTTCCTCGAAGTCATCGACACCTTCCATAGGATATCGTTCATCAGCCGTTATGGCCTCTTCGATGAGATCCAAAGTTTTGTACACCTGAAAAAGCCAGTGATTCGGTAGGCAGATCATAGAGCAATGTTGGATTACCTTCTCCATCTCATCCGCTGAGGGCGAAGGGGCTTTTGGCGGAGGTTCAGCCGCACTGCTAAGGTCCTCTTCGACGCTCATTGTGACCATCGTCGGCCGTGCAAAGGAGACCGTGATTGTTGGCTCATCAATTGCAATATCTTCGACATCATCCAAAGTCTGCTCGGGTTCAAGTGGCGCTTTTTCTTCCGGTTGCACTTTTTCTGGTGGCAAAAGTATCTTGCGGATCTTCGGCGACGGGGCGCCATCCTGGGTGGCCGTGGGGATGTTTTCCCTTGGCTGCGGTTCCGGCCTGGGGCCTTCACCATTCGGTTCACCTTCTTCAATAGGCTGTTCTTCAGTCGCTTCTGGCTTTTCCTCCGGCTTATCTTCGTTGGGAGCAGCAACTTCAACGGCTTTCGCCTTGACGGCCTCAGGTGCCTCTGAATGTTCGTCCTTCATCTCTTCTTCGGTGGTATAGGCGTCGGTTACGTTACCAACTTCCATCGCTGAAAAATCTGTTGCTAGTCAATAGGTGGACTAGAGCGAGAGATTCGAAAATTACCTAGTGGGCCCATACTGCTCATACTGGTCCGGTCAGGCGACGTTCGAATTGGTGTCGCATTGGCCATCGGTCGTGACGCTGGCTGCATCAGCAGCGCTTCAAGGCGCGCCAGCTTGTCGCCCAGGGCTGTCAGCGTGCTATCACGGCTCGCGCTCGACTTACCCGGTAGTGCGGCGTGAATCGCAGCGGCTCGCTGCGACAATGCAGCAAACTGTGCATCACGATCGGCAAGGTCTTGCCGCGTGGCCTGAAATTATGGTTATCAAAGCAAAGGTCTTGGTCGCGCTGCGCCTGGAAATTATGGGTGATCAATTTTGGAAGATATTGCCTAAGGAAATCGATTCGAATATACCTTTGCTATTTGCGAGATCCGTGTAAGATTTTCTAGCTGCGCCAGTTGCATCCCCCCCCAAAAACCCCAAACCCTTTTTTTTTTTTTTCCTCTTCGGCGGCTTCGCGATCTTTGTCAACAGCTTCGGCCTGGGCCAGAAGTGGATCGAGGACCGATTTCTGGGCGTCCAGCTCCATTTCGAGCTGAAAATCGACTTTGTCAAATAAAAAATGTGACAGTAATTATGTAACAAATATTTAATATTAGTGCAAAAATAATAGATATTGAAAATATCTACTAAAATGAGGATGTTTGCCCTGGTAGCGCGTTGTCCCGCGAGACTTTCTCGCTGACAGCAGCATTCCTTCACTCAAGCGGCTGATGAATTCGTCAGCTAAATCCGTAACTACTCAGCGATTCGAACCCTGTGAGCTACTCGAAAAATATTTTATGAAAACTAGTTTTTATTGGAATAGCTCTCCTACAAAACAATAAATAAAAATGTACTCTCAGAGTGCTCTATAAAATTTATCAAGAACACAAACACGAAAGTATTTCAAATAAGGAATTTTTCAGTGTCTCTTCATGAAGTGGCAATATTTCGGTGCATAGCACCTTCTTCTCGCACAAAATATTTCCTTTAATTAGAGAGTTAGTTATTATTTTGCAAGTTTTTTTTCAATAACTCACTCTGCACCGCCTCTAACTACCACTCCCGCGAGGTTTGGTTAGGGTAGAAACTGGTCAACCTATCCGCCCTGCGCCTTTAAACATTGCTAGACTGCGGTATCACCCAACACCGCCGTTAAACACGCACATTAAAGGAGGAATCCACGATGAGAATAAAGGTCGAAGAAGGAGTACTTAGTACTTTGGTATTTACTTAGTTGAGAGACCTGCGGACCTCCTGAGAGTGCGGACCGTCGCGCATTTTGAAAGCGAAATAATTGACCTCGGCAACCTAGCATGGCTCACTCTTGGCGCGGTTGGCGGGCCCGCCCAATACCCCAATCACTCGCCAGAAGTCTATACGCGGCGAGTGACTAGATAGCAGAGAGAGCATAAGCGTTGAAGAGGGCATAACGATGCAAGTCGCATCAATGGGGAAATCAACGGGCAATGAAGGGGTCCTATTTCTCGGGTTCTGAGCCGCTTCTCATTGTTTCTCTTTTTTGTTGTTCCACCCATCATCCTTAACTCAATTTGGAATGGGTTGCGTTTTCATTGTTAATTCTGCCTTTAGAGCACAAAATATGGAGCATTTGCCGTTGATCAAGCCCTTTTTGGGATCGGCGCGTCTGGTACCAATTAACCGACCCCGGAGGGATGGAAGGCTTGGTTGGCCCGGGCGACTCACGACCCAGGATTTGATCCCCGGACCGCTCGCGTGGTAAGCGCGCCACTTGTCACTACACCACTTCCGCCCTTGTGCACTTTTGAGCAATACGTCCAATAAAATTAATATCAATTAAACATTAACAGCACCATTGATAAAAGTAAAAATAATGTGGTTGATATCAACGCCGAAAGTATGGTCTTGGGAATGCGCCACACATCCTACCATGACTCAGAATCTGTAAGAGATTTGACAGTGTGCTCAACTTAGAGTGTTCGACGCTTGTACATAAGGATACGCCATGGACGCAGCAGCAAACCAGGATCACAAAGTCAGCCGGTTGTGCAGAGAGCTTACACAGTGACCGTCTACTCGAGAAAGGAGGCATCTTATTCAATTGTTTTCAACACTCCTCTCTCTCTCTTCACTGCCCTAATCACTGGACGAATGGCTGCTCCAAAATTTGCGACCCCATCACTTACTCGTGACTTTTTAAGATGCGCAAATGTATTCTATGTTTAGGCCATGTCTAGGTAGTGATAAAAAGTGTAAAAAATCGAATAAAATAATGAACTTCCTATCTTCACATTGTAATGAATACTGACGATTATATTTTCAATACAGAGGTAAACGACTCGATAGACATTGTCAACTCAAGTATTTCAGAGTACAAGACCCGTCAATACTGTAAAAGACAAGAAAGAGAAGTTCCATTTTGGGCACGCGTGGTTATCACTAAGAGTCCTTTTTTGATTATTCTCACATGAAATTAAAACTCAAAAATCAGAGAGAAATGCGAAAACAAATAAAAAACGGGAGTACCCGGAGAGTTTCAGGTCTGGCAAGGACAAGGGAAATATGAAGCGAGCTGACTAAGCGAACGACTGAGTCAGACAGACGTCAAGAGAAGAACGTCCGTCAGTCGCCCACACTCCTGTCCTTTGTCCTTGGCTGTTTGCCGTAATTTAAATATAATATGAACCAATCAAATTTTTGACAAAAAATAAAATCAATTTTTTTTAATTAGGTTGAAAAATAAAAAATTTCATACCAATAAGAAAAAGCAAGGGATTTCTTGCCCACGCATGTCGAAAAAGCTGGAGGTTCGCTTTGCAGGAAACTATTTGAATACAATCTGTTCATCCCAGTTTTATACCCGGGAAAGGCAACAAGTGATGAGTGGCAGAGATGCAAAAGCTTGCAAGCTCTGCGTCTCTGTCACAACTTTCACCTGGTGTGTGCTCTGACATATCGTAAATTCGTAGTCGAAAATTTTTCTGTTGCATTTCATTTCTTAGGTATTTGAAGGGACAATCGCGGAGCGCACTGGAGCAAAAACGTCAATAAAGTACAACTTAATCGGAGGAATTATTTAAAAAAAAATCAAATAAAGTGGGGCAAAAAAATACAACAAATCGAGATATGATCAAAAGAAAACAGAAAGCAGATGCCAACATGATGTAATCCAAGGAAAAGCAAGAGAGCGTTCTTGATGGACTTTCATTTCAGTTTGAAAATCTTGTTCTCTTTAAGGTGAAGTGAGGCGGATGGGGTAGATGTCATACTTGCGATCAGCTAGCGAATCGCGCAATTCGCTAGCTATTATTCGCAAAGTCTGCCACCTGCTCACTTGAGAATCCTTGGTTTGAGCGCAATTTGTTGAAATTAGAGAGCGATATTCAAAAAACGTAAAAAGTTCAACGTTTCCGCTAATCAGCATGGTTAAGGCCAGCTAGTATTGCGTTGGTCTCTGTAGGCCAGTCCTAGTTTACTTTCACTCATCACTCTGCTACCGTATCGCAAGAGTGCAGTGGGATTTCGTGACAAGAACTGTGATGAGACTCTATCAGAAAAAGATCTCCGATATATTATCGATCAGAGGTTTATCCAAAACACCGTTTTCTTATTCGCTCGATACAGCTTCATATAGCTTTGAAAAGACGAAATTATAAGTGCACATTGTGCAACGGAATACTGCAGGTACAGTACTGTATGCATACACAGTACTTTAGGGATTACGGTAGGGAGAGTTGCCTACAGTATACTCAACTGTTGCAGGAATAGAAAGTCCCGGAACTCCTCCCTTGCCAAAAATGGGAGTACTGTAGGAGGCATTACTGCTTCATAAAACGCCTCCTATTAGGTATCCAAATCAAAAATTGTTTGGACGGAAATCTTCAAAAAATCAGGACCAACAAGACACTGTAGCTGGTACGGTAGAGCAGAAGGTCCAATTCAAATTCGATGTAAAATTGGTTATTGAAGAATTAACAAATAAAAATTTAGTAAATGAAAATAAAAATAAATGAAATAAATAAATAAATGAAATCAAAAGTAATCTAAAGTAGAATTTGCTAGAAATCCCAGACCTGATCGGCGATATCGACGATGTCGTCGAGCTTCTCTATCGCACGATGAGTGTCGAGTTCCATACGACCGCTATTCGCCAGACTCCGCCCCTTGTCGATGACGTCATTGAGGGCAGTACGTGACTCTGTTAGAAAATGATCCACGGCCTAGAAATTGACCGAATTAACTGAAGCCGGTCGATAAGCATCTGAACCAGAACCTATATCGGCCTAGAAAGTGACCGCATTAACTGAAGCCGGTCGTTAAGAATCTGAATCGGAACTATCTCAGAAGCTCACCTTAAGCCGCTTTTCCCATTGGATAACACTACTGACTGGAGACGCATCGAAGTCCAGACTGGCTTTTGCTTTGTCGAAGGTGTTTTTGAGCAAGTCGATCTTAAAAAGAAGTAAATCAGTTTCGTCCATTTAGAGGAGAAAATCCGGTTTGTTTGTTGCCTCAAGCAAGTTCTCAGGAAATTGTTTAGACATGGCACGCAAATTCGACTATCACGGAGGTGTTATCGACTTTTTACGCTGAGAAAACAACATTCGAAAGAAGCAAAGGCGTTGAAATGTGAGATCAGCTTATCAAATGCAGTGCCAGACTGCTTTATGGTTTCCTTTTCAAAAAAATGTCACCGAAATTTTATTTATTCATTTATGAGGCTGGATAAGGCAGATCGTAAGAAACAACCAAGAGCACCATCAAATTGTTACAGTACACTTCTACTAACTATAGCTCAACAATTCCTTCTTCACGAGGCGTTTGAAAAGTAAAAAAGCAGGGAAGACAGGAGCCACTTTTGATTTTAGATTAATGAATGTAGATCCAGCTCGACACTAGACACATTATATTAAAGTATAAAAAAAGGAAGCATTTGCCGTTGATCAATCCCTTTTGGGATGCGGCACGCATTCTACTTCCATTTGTACATTCGTAGTGGCGTTTGAATGCGATGGCCTATACAATGACTTGCGGGGGCCAGCCGATGTACAAGTCAGTGTTTTTATCCTCCCAGACAAGTCTGGTACCAATTAACCGACCCCGGAGGGATGGAAGGCTTGGTTGGCCCGGGCGACTCACGACCCAGGATTTGATCCCCGGACCGCTCGCGTGGTAAGCGCGCCACTTGTCACTACACCACTTCCGCCCGACACATTATATTATAAGAAATAAGAATCGAGGAAAATGAAAAAAAAACGCAAAATTGTTAAAAAGTCAAAATTTTTAGAATATGTGGCAGGAGAAGTCAGAACGCAAAAGCGGATTA